GTTAAAGACATTAGAATTCCTCCTATGGCAATTCTAGTTTCATTTGACGTGCAAAATCTATTTCCTAGCATTCCACCAATTGACGTAATAAACATAACAGACAATATTCTCACTCAGGGACAAGTCAACAATATCATAAAACAAGACTTGCTAGATGGTTTAATAGTTTGTTTAGACCAAAATTATTCTGAATTTAATGTCCGATTTTATATTGCTAAAAAAGGATTAATTATGGGAAACTCACTTAGTCCACTGGAAATTTTCATGGACAATTTAGAAAATATCATACATAAACATCTTTTGAGTCAAGGATTTCTCTGTTGGTATAGATACGTAGATGATGTTTTTGCTTGTTTCACCGGGACGGAAGACAACTGCAGTCATTTTTGAATCATATTTACTCTATACATAACCGTATAAAATTTACCATAGAGACGGAACTAGATAACTCTTTAAAATTTCTAGACTTAATTATAACTAAACTACAAAGCAAATGAGATTTTTTATTTTATCATTAATCCTCACTCACGGACGCAATAATACATAATAACTCAAATCACACTTACACACACAAAATGGTTGCCTCTTATTCGTTGATCCGCAGACTACTTAATATATCATTTTCCACAGAAAATGTGGACAAATAATTATCCTCGTTGATAGATAAGATTATAACTAAAAAGCAGTTTCAAATAACTCTATCTATCCCATATTAAACACCGAATCCAAAATTTAATAAAATTAAACAATAAAAGACATAGGAGAACCTAGCAAAAAACGCCATAGGAATTTTTTTAAAAAAACAATAAAACTAAATTACGAGAAACTCAAAAATCCGGAGTTGATATGTGGATCATGTCCCAAAATTTATATCGTACAAACAGGTAGAACATTTAAGAAACGTATTAACGAACATAAAAAGAGCGTAAACTAAATTTGTTGGAAGCTATGGAGATTAACAAAATGGGATATTCGAATCTCTTACTTAATGCGTCTCCGTTGTTAAATGTAAAACTATAACCCTACACCAGTAATTAAACTACTTGTTTACATATATAAGTGTCAGAATATTGTCATATTTTGTGTTTGATAAAGGCACGGTTTTATTTGACGTTTATACCCGTTTTAGACTGAGAGAAATTTGTTTCCCAACTGCTAAACAAGTTTATAGATGAAGAGCAAAAAGAAAATACTTACGTAAACAATTCTGTCGTCATTATTACTTTTTTATTCATTGATTACAAAGAATGAGGTAAGTTTCCAGTATTACAAAACTTATTGTATTTTTTAAGTTTTAGACGAAAATGCACAATCAGAAAAACCCATTCTTTATTTTTACAATATCAAAATAATAATAGTACCAATCGAGGTGTGCATAAACAAATCAAGGAATACAAAAAGGCGGAATTTTAAAATAATTTGTAGGGGTCATAAAATAATGACGTATAGTGGTTTTTCTTTTTTCTGTTTTATTTGTTTTTATATCTCAATTACAGTATTTAATTGTAATTTGGTTTTTTCGTGCGCTTGTAGCAAAATTTAGGATCCAGAGAATAACAGCGCTTTCAAAAATTGCGTTAATTAATAGCAATTATCATCGGTTTTTACCAGGATTTAAGAATTAGTTTTAATAAAACAACTATTAAAAAAATTATACATCTTTATAGGAGAGACGTATATCCATCGCAGTTTGAAAATGACAGCAGCGATAAGCCGCATAGCGAAGTTGCCTGCATAATTGAAGCAATATTATATCAAAATAATAATTAACTAAAAGATCACTGAAAAAAACTAAGAAAAAATCTGACTTATAAGCACACTTCGCTTTAATCTCGGGTTAGTAAATAAACGAATAGGTCTTTTTCAGGTTTATACTCGGGACGTCCGGTCATATGCATAGGAAATTGGGTGGGACACCTCTCATTAGATTTTAGGTTTTTGTCCAATCAAATCAACTACAGTTGGCTTAAAATACACACTAAAGAAGCGATAAAGATATTGTTCACTAGAAATTTAATCCAAATTTATGCACGTTATATATTTTTATAAATTATTTCATTGAAAACAAAATGTAAGTTGAAATCATAACAAAAATTTTGTTGCCATAAATCCATTGACGAAAAATTGAACTAATAAATTTTAAACATGTCATTACTTGTTCCATTCGGTCCATCACGAATAAGTTAAAAATTTATACTAACGATATTTGCGTCATCAATCCTTAAATACCCATCCTTAAACCATTACCGTTCGAATGCACTGTTGACAAAATATAAGTACTTGCAAATAACTACTATTTTCCCTGCAATACAAGGCTACAACTTCGTTTTCATTTTCGTATGCCAAACTAACGAAATAATAGTTAAAGTAAATGACGGCTGCATTAAAAAGAAACATCGATTTCCCATATCGGTGTTTTAAAGTCACTTAAATAGAACCAAATTCCAAATGGATGCCATTCGGCATTCATTTCGATTACGGACATAAATCATTCGACTCGGTTTACGTGAGTTAATTTTTGTGTGGCCACAAGCTAACATTTTATTTTATGTATCTACCTAATCATCATCAATGCAATTTTTCATATCGATACTTTGTCAGTTCTAAGATAAATCAAATGAGCCCTGTGGTCAATTCCGACAATGTTTTGGACCATGCATTCCTGGGGAGCTTCTAAATCGGTAGTTTAATTCTAAAGAATTCCGTTCAATCACAGTTTTAAAAAGTATATATTAGAAATTTTAGTTATGTCAGCCAAGAAATCTTTTTTTTTTGTTTCTTTTACAATGGGTTAAATTTCGACCATAAACCTGAGGATTAAATTATTGTTAACTTAAATTATCCATTAGGATTAATTCAAAAGCGAAAACCAGTTTTTTTTTGCCTTTTCTACTTAATTTTGAACCAATGATTTTGCAAAAAAATTTGATTGGTGCTTGCATTATTTTAGCGTATTTTGAAAATTATTTTTTGGATAATTAGAATTTATTAAATGCTGTAAATACAACAATCTCGAAAAGTACCAAAAATATTATGATTGCTTATTTTGGGCCAAACTGAATTTGGTCAAATTTTATTATTTCAGAAAAGGAATCTGCAGTTTTATACTGCGAGCCATTAATTATAGGACATCCTGTATTGTGAATTTTAATTTATCATTTTAGTTTGCAATTAGGATCGTCCTTGGTACTGTTCTACTTTTTATAAACTTTATCTGATGGAAAGAGGAAGTAATATTAGTTATACCGATGATATAATGATACTTTGTGTGAAGTAGGGACCTTAGAAGACTTTAAAACGACAGATGGAAGATGATATAAATTTATTTAAAAAATGGTAGTTATGCTATAATTAACTTATTACAAAACTTCTGGTTTCCTCCTGCGTCGGCTTTTGCTTAGTCGAAATTGCCGACGTTTCGCCAATCATCCTGTTGGCTTCTTCAGAGCTTGACTCAGTTTCAGTCAAGCTCTGTTCAATGATGTGAAAGGAATTAAGTACGAAACTGTCAGTTTTCCCTGTAAGGAGTTTTAATAAGGAAGCCAGATATTTTGCTAGAGAATATGTTGGAGAACCAATGGTGCTGACAATAGGTCGAAGGGGTAATCCTGCTTTGTGAATCTTTGGTCAACAGCCTGTAACCAATGTGGGAATCAGTCATCCGATACGGTGTTTGTGCCCCTCAAACAATATATAAGCAGGTACAGGGTAAAATACGAGCTAGTTTCAGTCAAGCTCTGAATAAGCCAACAGGATGATTGGCGAAACGTCATCAATTCCGACTAAGCAAAAACCTACACAGGAGGAATCCAGAAGTTTTGTAAAAATTATTACAGTAGCCTGTGGAAGTTTCTTTGAAAAATAATTATTAACTTACTTTAAATATAGTTAAAGCTGAATACATGCAAACTTCTGGGTGTGTACATAAATAGTAGACTTAACTGGCGCGTACATATAGATATACTGGCCTGGAGATGAAACATAGTTACATTCGAAAACTTATTCAACTTACAACTTTTGAGACAGCTTCCGAGGCAGATTGTTCGAACTTTTTGTTCTGCCCAAAGTTAGGATCACCCTAAATAAATGAAAGTTCTAAGTCTCTCTTAAATTTTAATCTGTCAGTCAGACATAAAAATGATTTGTATGTTCCCCATCGTCGTGTAAATAAAACTCAATCGTCCATTAACTTCATTGATTTATAAAATGTATAAAAAAATCCCAGCAACCCTCAAAAACAACTTTTCTCCGATTAAATTTAAACAAAATATTAAACAAATTTTAACAGAATGCTTTTATAACTATAATGATTTTGTGAATGCAACTTTAAAAGCTACATGATCTCTGAATTTTAGATTGTTTGTATGTGCTTAATTTAAGGTAACTTAAGCGCAATCGGAGGTGATATGCTTGAAATACCTTTTTTAAGTATCTTGATATTACGTTAGGTAAGATAGGATCAGACTCTTGACTGGAACCTTCAGCACTGCACTAACACACAATAACGCGTTTTACCACAAACCGAAACTCAATTTTACGTACTGAGACATATTGTCTCAGCTATAGGTTCTCCAACATATAATATTTCAAGGTGGTTAGTTGCAGAACTTGGAAATTTAAAACATCAAAAAGAAAGTTTTTCTGTAAAAAACTCGCAAGAGTTTATATTGGTAAAATCAAAGACGTAAGGCTAAATGAACATGAACTTTTAGTATCTTTTGATGCTTCCTCATTATTTCCAAGCGTTCCTATACCAGAAACTTTGGAATATCTCAGGAAATTACTTAAATTGTTTATCTCCTTTCCTGGCTGAATTTTCCATGCATCATTTTGAACATGTTGCTAAAGAAAATTTCGAGTACTTTCCTAGGATATGGAATAGATACGTCGACGATGTTTTCGCGGTTTTTGATACAACGTGCATGGATTTAATTGACTTTATTTCAAACTTGAATAATTACTTCCTATCTAATAAATTCACATATGAAATAGAGAGTAACATGCAGTTGCCTTTTTTGGATGTTCTCGTTATCAAAAACAGTGAAACTCATATGATTTTTGACATTTATAGGAAAGACACTAGTACTTTAAGATACATAACCAATGATTCTAACCATGCTATTCAACATAAAATTGCAGGTTTTAATTTTCTAGTCCATAGGCTTGTCACATGTCCTTTAAATCAAGAAGGGTGTGAGGTGGAAAGAAGCTTTATAAAAAAAGTGGCTAAAATCAATGGCTATGAAGATAGTTTTCTCGATAAGTTAATTAGGAAATTTAGATTTAAAAACAAACTTCAAAAATCAACGACTTTTCAAGCTGATAAGGAAAATTTAAAAGTAGTCTCAATTCCTTTCTCTCCCCAATATACAAGTGGACTTGATAGAGTCTTCAGGGCCGCAGGTCTTCAAAGTGTCTATCAGTCCGGATCAAAATTAAAAAATCTCTTGGGTAATGCCAAGGATAAACTAGATACCCTTGAAAAGTCAAGAATTTATGAAATATGTTGTAACGATTGTGGCAAGTCATATGTAGGGCAAACCAAAAGATCAATTAATGTTAGATTTAAGGAACACTTAGCTCATTTAAAATTTGGTCGATTAGAAAAATCAAGTGTAGCCGAACATATGTTCAACAACAACCATAAGGTCATAAGTAATTTAAAATTAGTTAAACATGTAAATAATAGTTAGATAATATTAGATGCCTACGAAAGCTTAGAAATTGTTAAGAGAGGGAATAAGGCACTGGACAAGGACAGAGGTCCAATCCCATTTAGCCGATGATACGCGCTGATTGGTTGCGTGAACAGTGCGTAATTCCCTCTCCCACTTCCCGACATGTATATTTATAGAGAGCTTTTGTTCTATTAAGTTTAGTTTTAATCCTCTTCTGAAGATGCCAACTTGGTTGGAGAAACGCGCGTCGAGTACGGTTTGTGGTAAAATCCGTTATTGCCTGTAAGATAGGATAATCATATAAAGAGCGTTTTTGGTAGAATAAGGGATTTGCTATAACAGTTTGTTTACTTAAGAGACTTTCTATGCATTCAAATCTAGTCACTTGTACAGACGTATAGAGTTCTATTATTATATGCCGACGGCACCCTTTTATCATCTTAGTGACGTGTCGTCGCGTCATTCACACAGAACTATACCGTCGGCGTCCTTTATTGGCGACTCAACCGCGTTTTCCCATATTGTAAACACTACTAGTTTTATATTACTTTTACGAAAGGATAAAGTTAGACTTGGGTCATTCAGGTATTAAAAAACTTTGAATGTAACAGTACACCTCTTCGCCGTGCATGTAACGTTTAGATGGAACTATTAAATGTATTAAAAACAAGTAGTATTTATTTTATAAAGACTACATCAGAAGATATGTCAGTGATGATGAAGTGAACACCATAGACGTTTCTTCATTGAGAAGGGAGGCAGCTAAAAAGCTTGAAGACAACAGAATCAAATACAATGAGCGATTTAACCAAAAAAGAAGATCACCAGTTCAATTTGTTGTAGGGGACTTAGTTTTGACTAAGATTACTAGTTTTGGTTAGTTGGTAGTTGTCTAAGATTACTAGTTTTGCAGTAAACCATATTGAAAACAAAAAGCTACTCGCCAAATACAGAGGACCTTTTAAAGTGATTGAAGTTTTCCTTAATGACAGATACAGGCTCAAAGAAGACATCCATTCCACTAGGACAACACGATGAGCGTACGAAGCCGTAGTAGGTAAGCGTATCTGACGCACGTATGTAATAGTTAAGTTTTGAATTTCTGATTTAACTGTGACGTATCTGACGTACACAAATTTAAGTATTAAATTTCTGATTCAACTGTGACGTATCTGACGTACACAAATTTAAGTCTTGAATTTCTGATTTCACTATGACGTATCTGACGTACACAAATTTAAGTTTTGAATTCCTGATTCAACTGTGACATATCCGACGTACACAAATTTAAGTTTTGAATTCCTGATTCAACTGTGACATATCTGACGTGCACAAAGTTAAGTTTTGAATTCCTGATTCAACCGTGACGTATCTGACGTGCACAAAGTTAAGTTTTGAATTTTCGATTCAACCGTGACGTATCTGACGTACACAAAGTTAAGTTTTGAATTTCTGCTTCAATAGTGACGTATCCGACGATCACAAATTCAAGTTACAAAGGTTCGAATTTTGATTCGATTGTTACGTAGTGGATGTACAGATATCTATGTGATAAATTTAAGAGACTTTATACTTTTGGGCAATGGTGTTGAATATTGCTTGATCGATTGATAGGAGTACAATTGCCATGAACTAGTATTTTCAGTTTGTATATCATGGGTGATGGTACTGATTGTACGCTCAAGGACGATCGTGTGGTCAGGATGGTCGAGTGCCGTCGGCACCCTTTTATCATCTTAGCGACGTGCCGTCGCGTCATTCATACAGAATGATACCGTCGGCGTCCTTTATCGGCGACTCAACCCCGTTTTCCCATATTGTAAACACTATTACTTTTATATTACTTTTAGAAGCCCACCAAAGGATAAAGTTAGGCTATTAAATGTATTAAAAACAAGTAGTATTTATTTCATAAAGACTACATATAGTATTATACTAACGTCAATGAAAAGCTTTGGAAAACTATGAGGTTTCAAATCAAATTCTAAATCGTGGAACATAATATGTGACTACACACCAAACAAGGGTAGTTTTTAACAATCCCGATCCTTAACCGCATGTACAAATCTCGGGTTCTCGTTAAAAGCTTAATAAAAGCGGTGATTTATTCGCAAATATATATTCCCACGACATACGGAGTCGATAAAAGCGAAACTTTCCCGCAACACAGCACGTATGGTTCCCTATATCCGACCCTATATGTTCGACGATTCCCCACGGGTAGGCAATTCTCTACGCGTCACTAATTCGCCGGGCTAATGCCATTGTTTACCGTCTGTTAATCTCACGAGTCACTCGCGTGCGTCAACCGAACAATGCGCTTCTCGCGTGCCCTACGTTTGACTTAAACGGAAATCAAAGTTCAGCGTCTACCGGATCAAGGCAATACGGATCCGCGTTCCGTAACTTCCCCGTCGCTTCCTTTCGAAATACCGAACACCCATTAGGGGTCTCTCCAAGCTCCAAGCTGACGACAGTCTATTCCGAGGTGATTTTCGTTTTATGTCTAAACAGGGACGTAGCCTGTCTGGGGGCCCGGTGGTACAAGTTTGTGGCGCGGCACCTTTTATTTTCGGAGAACTTTAAATTAAAGATCTTATGTGACACTTAAATGGTACCAATATTTTACAAATTTATATCGTCTTCCATCCGTTGTTCCCAAGTAGTTGCATAACAACACTGTATAGTCAGCATAACTAATAATATTTGCAGTTGTCATCACATTTGGCAGATCGTCCTATATTATCATCTGTGTGTTTCAGGGTTTTTAATTCAGAAAATCAATTTTTCTGCAAAAAAGTTACAGTGTTTGTCGGTTCTCATGCATACATACTAACACATCATATGTATAATTTGTTCCAACAAAACTTTTAATACAGTCACTTTTCTGGAGTTTAATTTTGCATTCAATACTCAAATTAAATGTTACTAGAAAAAAGATAAAAACATATGGAAAACTACTAGTGGAATTATATTTCCCATTTTATTTAGCCTTTGAAAAATTTTATTTATTTGAAATGTTTTTATATTAGCCTGTCTATAAGACATTGTGATATGCAATATAGCAATGTAGTATAGCAAAATTTGAGTATCACCTTAATCAGCTGATTAGCAAACCCAATACTTGTAGGAAGAAAAACACTAAATAACGACAAAACTTCCCCCTCTACGAGATATTTATTTCAAATTAATCGTGGGTTTTCTAAACTGAACAGCCCAACACTTGTGCGTTGTTTTATAACATTGCCTGTTTAATAAGTAGATAACATCGAAAATACCAAAAAGCTAACGAAACACTTTGCTTGTGTGTAACACTCACGTGCTTAGAAACCTTTAAAAACCCGTTACATACATTACATATAATTTTTCCATAACAAAATTTGAGTGAATAGTTTAATACAGCTTTCACACAAACTTTTATCCCCTGAGTTCGCACGTTTTGCAATTTACAATTAAAAAATTGTGAAATGTAAAGATAAAATCTGAAACGATTTATGTACGTGAATCCACTCTTGCTTACCATTCTCTCTCTGTGTAATACCCTTGTTAAGCAGTGCCTATCTTTTTGTGATCTTCCTACTCTTCTGTGATGGTTTATAGTCCCTTGCCAGTGTTATTAGTCTGGTATCGTCTGCTCTTGTTACACGTTCATTCTGATCTCTTCTTCCTTGCTTTTATTTATTATTTATTTCATTTTAAATAGTTATAACATATAATTATTCAAATATCGACGCGCTCTTTTTGAAGTCGCATCTTGGTGCGGTTCATCACCAATCGCACCCCCCGTCGCTACGTCGCTGTATTGAAATATAATTCGAAAGGAATATGTGTGTTGTTCATGGGAACGCCATCGTTTATTTTCATTTCAACGCCGCGCTCTTACTATGGTGTTACGCTTGCAGATTACCTCGGCTTGTTACCGGTCTGGTTTAAAGACTACAACCACCGATTAGAATTACAAAGTTGGGTTTAATGATTTCCTCTTCCTTTAAAAAACTGACTTACAGATATAGTTAACTGCATCCATGCTACACACAGAAAACGTTTTAATTGTTAACTGCTAAGCTTTTGAAAATTTTGATTGCGCACATGATAAACGTATGAATTGTAATCTGTTTCTGGGAACGGAAAAACACCTACTCGTTCATTGTTGTCTATTACGATTTCATCCAACATATAAAATTCAATGGCGTCGCTCGACACTCACAGATTACCGAAAAGTATATAATACCGATGCTCTTGGACTTGTCTTTTCTAACGGCCAATGAAACGAGTCTCTTACAATTGCTAATTGATAATTATTACATTCGGAATGGGTTTTTTGATTAGATCTTTGTTGACTTCCAGGATGGTCAAAAATCATCCTGGCTAAATGGAAAGTCAAACCGATGCACGGGCAGCTGATAGAGAATATGCGGGATCTGACAGTGGATACCATTATATCAAATTCTTGGCTAATAATGCTAAGGAAACTAAATAATAATGAATAATGAAAACCAACAAGAATGATAAGTGTAGACTTTGCAAAGAATAGAGTGAAACTTGCTTTAAAAGAATTTGTTGATTAGCATAACAAAGTTCGTGGAAACATTATCAATGTGTATGGTACCAGCATGAGTTTACAAGAAGTAACTAATGATGAAAGGAAAATTATAGGTATATTTCCTACGAACAATTATGAATCAAGATGCTCAAAACAGATCTGCAAACCGCCATGACATTGTTATCATAGAGGAGAAACATACGTGTATTTTGCTCAATGTCATAGAGTGCACAGGCTATATGTTCAAGCAATTCATTCTGAAATGTTGAAATGAAATGAAGAGTTCTTACCTAGTTTAACGACCCTAAAATATTTGAACATACATCCTCATACTTCAGCCCCAGAGTTCAGTGAATGCTCGCTGAAAGAGTATACAGGTGTTGGTAATCGTGAACACTTTAATCTGTTATTTGTGATTTCTTAATTAATAGTAATAAGAGCAATAATAGTATATTATGTAACAAGTGCGGTAAATGGCATTTGACTTATGAGTTTATTTGACACGAGCGGAGCGAGTGTTTAATAAACGAGTGACTTAAAAAGTTTACCGAACATGTTGCATACTATAATTTTTCTACGACCGTTAGTTTTTGGGGACATTTTCGTAAAATAACACGAACACATTCACTGACATGACCGACAGATTTGACAAACGTCAAAATTCAAAGCGATTCTGAAAACATCCGATTGCTCCCAAATCCGTGCGATAAAATCCCGGAAATGTCCGAAGTGGCTCGAATTCGTGGGAAAGGAAACTGACGTGGTAAAGTGACGCTTCCCGCACGCTAGATCGGTGGGTAATTAGGTATTTTACAGACGGGAGTAGAAAAAAATCTTTATTAAATCGAGTTAGGTGCAGAACATATAGGCAACAATTATATAGTATTCGTCTGATTTGGCGTAAAATATAGCTAACCTGGTGATACGTGCGCATGAAGTAAATAAAGCGTAAACAAGGGTTTTGTAATTTTTGGACACTGAACTTAGCGCTAAGCGTTAAGACAATATCAAATTTGGGATTTTTACTGGAATATTTATGATTATTTGGCAAATTTTTTCTAAGACGTTTGTGGTCGGAATTCTGCCTTCTTATTTCTTTCTACTTCAGTTTCCTGGCATGGAATAATGTTTTGTAATATTTTTTCAGTGTTGAGCTTTAGTTTCATAATATTTTCTCGATAAAAGATAGATTTTTGGTACTCAAATTAGGTAGAAATGGAAATATTATTCTTTTGCGTTCTCGTCGCGTAACCCACTTAGTAGAGCCCGGCAAACGGAACGAACATAATTGAAATTATATAGAAATAAAATCGATGTTAAGTAAAAAATACACGCGACCGGGAACGATCATTCAAATTATTCCAAAGGTTTCCGCTGTTTTTGGAAGAGTGCTTTTTTTCAAATAACCGCAGGACCCCTTAACAATTTTATTATAAAAACAAATCCGCCGATATCTGATTATGCTTTTTTTACCCATTCGCACGGATTTCGTCGACGGGAGGGTTTAGATCGCAAATTATAAAATAACATGCGATAAAGGGTTCGCGCAGAATTTCGCTTAAAAGGAATCTTAGTTCCGTTGTTCTTTTGCAAAACAAAACGCTCCAAATACGTGATCCCATGACTCGATCAAAAACCTATATCGCGTCATAGCAGTTACAGAAAAAAACTTCAACGAATATCTGACCTGTCGATCTAAGCTGCTTGGATGGAAATAATAGGTAGGTTTACAACAATTTGATTAGTTTCTGTAAACTTGATAACGAAAAGTAAACACATTAGTAAATATCGGTACTAAATTGCTCGACAAATGCACTAGGAGGACCTTCAGATAGTGACGGTACAAAGTTGTTTTAATAACCTATAAGGATATACATAGTAATGTTTTTAATGTTACTATCCACATTTAACATAGACTCGTAATAGTAACTAGCGCAGTTATTTTTGCTTTTAGAGATCTACGCGATATGTAATTTAATAAAGGTTTACTTCGAAAAGTTTAATTATTGAAAAGTATATTAAGTACATAACACCTACATATTTCACCTTATACAGGTTTAATGGTCAACTTTATACGAAATAAATAATACCGAATCAACGAAGGTCAGATCTGATACAAATAGAGGTCGACACCTTGAAATCGTGGAAGGTAATACTCAAACAACATCTTAATCAAGACAGGTGCGCAATACTTTACAGGAACTTATCTAATATTGTAACCGAATGAATGCAAACATTGGTAGGAATCGTAGCAAGACCATCCAGTTGCAAAAATGCAATGTGGCTGAAGTGCATGGATTCGGATTTGCAAGTATTACAGTGGACCAGTTCGTTACTTATCCTAATTAAAAAACATATTCCTGTGGAAATGCTGGGTAAGCGCAGAAATATTGTAAGAAAACTCCTAAAAACCATATCCAGTGTTGCTATACAGAAAATAACCCCTTTATCCCTCGCATCACCCCAAAAAATATATTCATTTAATTACTTAAGAGCCGCTTAGAAGCGCATTAAAGTGATGTAGTGCTCAACCATCTTAAAATCGTCGGGAAGATATAAAACTACCCCTAATTATGATATAACCAATAATTCGTTTTATTTATTCAAAATGTCAGAAAAATGTGACGTCCCACATATATAATAGCCATTTAGACGAGCTTCAAAATGATGTAATAATACCCTCAATAATGGGATATTGTTTTCCCACTTAGGAGAGCTTCATTTTGAGGCTCTCCTAAGTAGCTCTTCAATAATCTAATTGAATATCTGGGACGTAAGAATTTTTTGAGATTCCGAAATAAATATACCGAATTTTAGGGCATTTCATGATTGGGGACAGTTTTATATCTTTTCGACGGTTTTTAGGTGGATAAGCAATACATTATTTTGGATCTCTCCTAAGTGGCTCTTCAATAGCCTGATTGAATAACAGGTTTTTTTGAGATTGGGATTGGGATTGAATGTAACGAATTTTTATATATTTCATTATTGGGGGTAGTTTTATGTCCTCCCGATGGTTTCAAGGTTGTAGAGTGGCTCTTCAATGGCGGAATATTTCAGCGGACCAGTTTGTTACGTATCTTAATCTTACAAATATTATACTATTTGATTACTTACCTAGCATACTCGCAGGAATATATTTTTTTAATTAAGATAAGTAAGGAACTGGTCCGCCGTAATATTTGCAAATCCAAATCTAACTTCAGCCACATAAAAAAGAGTTCAAGCAATGTTTTGTTACACTATCATTCCGGCAGAATATTAATTTATAAGTAGGATATGGTGGGCCGCCTTTAATCCTTGTAAATGGCAACTAGGCTAAATTGAATATGCTAATTTGGTACGTCGTCGGTTGAAATGGAAAAAAAACTAACTATTGGATTGTTGTGGACTGGATTAATTTTGATTTAGTTCTTTTTAAAGAATAATAAGAAAGTGAAGGCAAGTATGAAGTATTTAACTTATAATCATTCCGGCAGGATATTAATTTATAAGTAGGATATGGTGGGCCGCCTTTAATCCTTGTAAACGGCAACTAGGCTAAATTGAATATGCTAATTTGGTACGCCGTCGGTTGAAATGGAAAAAAAATCTAACTATTGGGTTGTTGTGGGCTGGATTAATTTTGATTTGGTTCTTTTTAAAGAATAATAAGAAAGTGAAGGCAAGTATGAAGTATTTAACTTATAATCATAATATTAGTTTACCCTTCTAGAAAAAGATTCTAATTTCAGTTGATACATCCTTCCATTAACTCGAAAACTTATAATGTGGAAAACGTGGAAAATATATATTGTCTGTCAGTTTTTCTTGATCGATTTGCTTGGCTCTCGAGAAAAAAAGTTATTTTCACAATAATTTTAATATTACATTTTTAATTAAATTCTATCAACCGATTTTTTTGGTGCATTCTTTTCAACACATACTTTTTTATTGTTATGTTTTCTTGGATTTTTTTTCTTTGTTACTGAGTACGTTTTATTCCTTTAATATAAATAAGGAAGTTATATAAAATATTAGATATATATCAATGACAACGTCATGGCGGCACGACGAATTTTAGGATTTTTTATTAATTAAATTATAACAACTAAGAATATTCTACAAACAAATGACATTTTCATAATGCTATCCATGCTTTTGCTTTTAAGTTTTTGTCATTTTGGACCCTAAATTAATTTGAAGATACATTTGTTTGAAAGTTCTATTCCACGTTCTAATAGACAATGTTTAGGTGCTGAGTAGGTCTTATCAATAGGTTAATACTTACAATACATCGCAGCATATCGGGAAATTAACTAAGCGAAAGATAAGTTTTATAGAAACTGCAAAGATTACATTTTAGCGAACCTAACAATTTGGTCAGCACCTTGTGCTTAACAAAAGATTCGTATGTGATTCTAAGAATTTTGCTACGAAAAATACGAATTTGTACCTAACAACAATCCAGACGTATTTATACCACAAACAAAGCTGATAAAAATATACGAGTTTATCTCGAACGTGTTAGTCCAACTCAGTTTTATAACTTCGAGTGCCCAATTCAATTTTGGATTGCCTGACGAGACACGTCAAAGCTTTGTCAATAACAACCGCAACATAACCGCGTGCATATCATCATCTTCAGATCATTCGATTAGATTAAAATTGTAGGTATAAATTGGCGATCATTGGCAGCGTTTTCAAGAGACACTCTCCAAGATGTCGGCGCTAGACTGCGGTTGTCCGATAGTAAACGCGGGGCCCAGCCTTGCCAACACATGCAGCGCAAACTCATTCGTGACTTTCATGACTCTGGTGGACGTGTTTGTCAGGTTCGCTTGTCCAATTAGCGACCCGTGCGGAAGGGTGGTACCCAACACTCAACCCGATCGCGTGTACGACTTCGTGGTTATCGGGGCGGGCAGTGGTGGTTCGACAGCAGCAGGAAGATTAGCAGACAACAGGGGTTGGAACGTGCTTTTGCTCGAAGCTGGATGGGATGAACCTCCAGGCTCGCAGGTATAATCTTGCTGCTGCTCTTGAACCAGTTAAGGACAAGGCATCTTCCAGGTTCCCGCCATGATCAGTTACCTCGGCTCCTCTATCGATTGGAACTTTCAAACAGAACCGGAACCCGTCGCATGTCAATCTAACGCCGAACAAAGATGCACCTGGCCCAGAGGAAAAGTTCTGGGTGGATGTAGCGTGTTTAACGGTATGATGTACATGAGAGGCACTCGCAAGGATTACGAAAGATGGGTGGAAGCCGGTAACGATCAGTGGAGTTATGACGATCTCTTGCCGGTATTCAAGAGGTCGGAAGGAAACAGGCAGATTGGAGAATTGGTGGACGCGAAATACCACGGAGCCAATGGACCTTTTACTATTCAGAGGTTCAACGATCAACCTGATTTGGCATGGGACGTGTTGGCAGCAGCCGACCAAGTTGGTTATCCGGTGAGCAACGACTTGAACGGTGATATTTTCAATGGGTTCGCAGTTGCTCAAGCCAACAACAGGTAACGATGATTAAAATGATGTGGTTCACTGATACACGTGGACATCATTTCGTAGGGATGGTGCAAGACTGAGCACGGCGAAGGCCTTCGTCCGCCCTCATAAGAACAGCCCGAACTTCGATGTTATGATGAACTCGACGGTCACCAAAATCATCGTGGAACAAGTCAATGGTATCAAGAGGGCCACCGGAGTTCAATTTGTCTACAATAATCAAACCTTTACTGTAAACGTTTCCAAAGAGGTCATCCTCGCTGCCGGAGCTGTTCAGACTCCACAGGTTCTGCTCCTTTCGGGTATCGGCGACAAGGCAGTCTTAGATAGCGTCGGCATCGAGCAGGTTCATAACTTAACCGGCGTCGGAAAAGGGCTTCAGAACCATGTGTCATTTAACTTACCCGGTAGTATCGATAGGAACAGTACTGCTCTGTTGAATGACTTGACATTGGCCGAGTACCTCAGCACTGGTCGTGGTCCACTAAGTTCAACCGGAATGTCTCAGGTATACACGTCAAAAAACGTTATAGACTAGCTACTATATAATTTGACCTTTTAATAATATTTCTCAAGGGTATTATATGGCGGGGTATTTTAAACGTATCGTGCAATTTCTGTCACAGGTGACGGCTAGACTAAACAGTCGTTATTCTCCAGCAGACGATCCCGATATTCAGTTGTTCTTCAACGGGTATTCTGCGCGATGCGCATATGATGGCACGCTAGGATCGCCTGAAAACCCAGACAATCCCGACGCCAAGCGGTCAGTCTCGATTGCCCCGGTGAACTTGCACCCCAAGAGCAAAGGGTAACTTGCAGCGAAAAAGTGGAAGCTGATTTAACTGAAATGTTGTTTCAGTTCAATCACACTCAAATCCAGCGATCCCTTCGATCATCCTAAAATCGTAGCCAATTATCTTACCGAAGAAGATGACGTAAGGACACTAGTAGAGGCTATTAGGGCTGCCCAAAAACTCGCATCAGCTCCCTTGCTGAAGGAGAAATACAATTTCCAATTGAGCAATACCACAAACTACGGAAACTGCTCCACCTTGTATACGTAAGTTAGAGGTTATGAAATTGCTGATCACTGTATGACGTTTGCTACTCATCTCAGGTATGACTCCGATGAGTTCTGGTCATGCGCTGTTAAGTACGCCACGTCTCCGGAGAATCATCAAGGTTCCTCTTGCAAGATGGGACCGGCTTCGAACCCTGAAACTTGCGTCAACCAGCAGTTGCAGTTGCACGGAATAGAAAACATCAGAATAACGGACGCATCCGTGTTCCCCACGCTGCCTTCCGGTAACACTCAGGCGACGATAGTGGCAATAGCCGAGAGAGCTGTCGAGTTTATCAGTAGGACGTACAGTTAATTAACTGATGCAGTAAATTAAACAAATAGAGAAATAAATTACTGAAACATTATCTGGTCTTTTGGATGCAGTATTCCGCAGGCCATTATCTGTTGGAATTTTTCGATATATATGGCAGCTGGAACATATCCACGAAATATATTATAGGTCTGTAGATATATATCAAGTGCCCCAAGGTACTAAGAGATTTTAAAGGGTTGGGTTGCAGAATATTACATTATAACCACGGAAAAAATGCTTGATGCTTGCATTAGCACGTCGCAACACGAAAATATTGAACAAATGTGATAAAGGCGTATTATTTTTTGTCTCTGATTTCATTAGTTCCTTGCTACATATAAAATATTTTAAAATTAAAACGGAGTTCAGTTTTATGGGTTCAAAAAGTACAAGTCTTTCTTTGACAATGGTGCGGTGTTCTTGTATTATCTGGGATGTGGATGTTGAAACCTTGTATCCTTGCTGTTCCCTATCGCACAATACAACACAAAATAAAAAAAAAAATTTTGCCTTAACATTAGCAAAATAAACCTGAAACAGGTGTTAGATTTCTCAGAATTGTGAAAGTTTCTTTTTTTTTTCAAAGAAACTTCAACAGGCTACTGTAATACTTTTTATAAAACTTCTGGATTCTTCCTGCGTCGATTTTTGTTGAGTCCAACTTGCTGACGTTTCGCGAATCATCTTGTTGGCTTCTTCAGAGCTTGACTGAAACTGGCTCGTATTTTACTCTGTACCTGCTTATATATTGTTTGAGGGGGGCGGAGCTAAATGAGGGAGATAAACACCGTCTCGAAGGACTGATTCCCATATTGGTGACAGGTAGAGACCTGAGTCGCGGTTAAGATTGTTAGGTTGTTTATAGATTTCTATAGACTCTCGAATTTTTCGTTGGTAGAAGAACTGATTACATGCAAGAATTTTAGTTTTATAGAATAAAATTTTTTAAACGGTTTCATGAGTGTCTCCAATGTATTCTTTGGCGCATATGCATAGTGGTAAATCTGGTATTGACCTTACACTTCTTTAGAACTTTTGATATGTGATCAGTTATGTTTTGAATGTAAGGAAGGACTACAGTGGCAACTGTAGGATTGCTTTCTGTCTCATTGCTATTGTATTTTTGATGGAACGCTTAATATCTTTAATATCGAAATTATTAGACAGAATAGCATAGGCAAGGTCTTTTAATTCTGGGTTCAGTGATTCGGGCCGAGATAGTTTTACGGGTCTGTAAACAAGAGCCGTAATCGAGAGATAACCTATGATTTTTAGGCCGGATGGTGATGGTGACCATGCATTAAGGTCTTTGTAAGTAGGCTTTCTGTAAACACAATGACCCAATGCTAGGGCTGATTTTTTATTGATAAGAATGTCTAAGAATGGAAGGTTATTATTGGTTTCCAACTCAATGGTAAAACTTATGTTCGGGTGTATAGAGTTTAAAAGTCTAAGAAAATCTACAGGGTTTTTTGACCATGAGGCCAAATAACAATAGTATCATCGACGTAATGTTTCCATAATTTTGGTTTTAGATTAAAGGTATCGAAAGCTTTCTTCTCAAAGGCTTCCATAAAAACATTCGCGATGACTGGTGATAGAGATAGGAGAACCCATAGCTGTTCCCGACGTTTGTTCAAAAATCTGACCGTTATGAGAAAAATATGTTCCCGGCAAGGATTTTTCAATTTAGATTTAGGTGAGAAGGTTTGGTTCCAGATTCTGGGACTTTAATATATCTGAAATGATGTCGACAGTTTCAGGAATAGGAACTTTGATAAAGAGGGATTCTACGTCGAAACTAACTAGAATATCTTGTGTATCTAATGTATGTAATGATTTTTAATGGTTCAATGAAGTGAAAGGAATTAAGTACGAAACTGTCCTTTTTCCCTGTAAGGAGTTTTAATAAGGAAGCTAGATATTTTGCTAGAAAATATGTTGGACAACCAATGGTGCTGACAATAGGTCGAAGGGGTAATCCTGGTTTGTGAATATTTGATCAACAACCTGTAACCAATATGGGAATCAGTCATCCGAGACGGTGTTTGTGCCCGTCATTTAGCTTTGCCCGCCTCAAACAATATATAAACAGGTACAGGATAAAATACGAGCTAGTTTCAGTCAAGCTCTGAATAAGCCAACAGGATGATTGGCGAAACGTCAGCAAGTTCGACTCAACATTCACCGAGGCAGGTTTGGTAAATAGTATTAGAGTAGCCCGTTTAAGTTTCTTTGAAAAATGAATCCTGCTATTGCGAAAAAACCAGAATACGTTCAAATCATCTGCAGACACTAGTGTAATGGCATACAAATCTGGATTTTTGTCGATGATGCTTTGGATAAAGAAGCGTATCCATACGAAGTTGTTCCATTTGGACAGAAGTTATTCTGAAACTCGTGGACATAGAATTCATTCAGGACCTAAACACTAATCCATGTGTGTGTGCCAACGGTACACCATTTTAAAGCTTGTAAATTATCTACCTACGTTTTTGTTTAGGTAAAAGAATTTTAGTAGATAACAAACAACGTTTTGTCGAAAAATATCTACTAGATTAAAAGAACTGTAACACTTCAGAATTGTTACTTTACTGGAATACGATCCGGTAGTTCCGCGCCTACATTTTAAATTTTAAGCGCCTTTTTTTTCCTGCCTCACCGGCAAACACCTGATTTGCTCTAAGGTCCGCGCTACCAGGCTAAGAAAGTCGTAATTTAATTCGCTTTATTTAGTTGTTATTACTAATGTTTCAAATACACACTTCTTAATAAATGGTCTCCTTAAAACTATACCCTTTTATCAATGAAGAATTAATTGAACCCGACAGCGGAATAAATGCGTATATATTCTCTTTGAATAAATAATTCGTTCGCGAAATAGATTCGTAACGCTAGTATCATTGGGCGTATGGCCTTATGCACCAAGTTCCGTGATTTCTCTCCGTTCCGGCATCTCTCTCGAATATCTGAGAAAGTAATCTATTTATCTTTCTCACCCCTGGCTCCGAGCGACATGCGTGGTATGATATCGTTTTCCTGTTTCGATAGAAGAACAGTGTGGTAGCTAGCCAAAAAGTGATTAACCTACCGGCTTTTTCTTCAGCCATCGCTTTGCCGATATAGGGTTAAATTTACTTAGATGTGTGGTCAGCGTTTTGGTGATTCCGTTGCTGTTCATATTTTGGTTCGTTCGGAGAACTGCCCACGCTTACTCTGTAAGAGGATTTGACTGCTACCTGCTGCCTACCAAGCTTTCACCCTCAAGAACATCCATCGAGGTAAAGTCTTTAACTATTTAGCTTTTGTTACCTTTACCATTCTATTCGCTCTTTAAAGAGTCAGTAAATTTTCCGGCTCGTTTTCGGAATTTAGCCGCTGTCGGCTTATACGCGGAAACTTTATAGGGTCCTTGGAACACCCGTACTCTCGTTGGAGCACCCGTATCTCCTTGAAGCCCTGTACTCGCCTTAGAGCACCCCCTTTAGGAGGGCTCGCGTTTCGGAGGCTTCTGGATTGACGTATTCGGGGTGGATCCAAACTTCGAAGTTCCTGTGTTCTCTGGATATTGGAGCACATTTGAATCATTGCTTGACTACCGGCTCACTTGATAGATCTGCGCGAGGTCAGACACCCCCTGTAGGCTGCACTGTTCGGGAAATAAACGAGGTGACGTCCAGTTCGATATAAGCGCTACGCGAGATATTGTTAGGCATCCCCTTTTTTTGTTTCCCGTTTTTGTTACGCTCGGTAATTTAATCGATACCTTTTTTTTGCTATACCGACACGGAAATTCAATAATCATGTAGTTTTACTCTCGAAAATTTGTGTACAAATGCTTTGAAAATTTATGTATAATTATTTGCGGGAAGTTGACGTACCGGTAATACTGAGTATGATCGTGGTAGAGTTTTTTATTTTAATAATTACCTATATTGCCCCTGTACGCCTGTGGTGATCACCTAAGGGAGTTTGAACTTTTTTTCCTTTGTGTATTTCTATTATTTTGAGAATTTCGTATTAAACGGGCTGTCAACTTGTTGTGGGGACGGCAATTGAATTTTGCGGAGTTTAGGTCGGTATGTCGCGGATTTGTAGTTTCTCATTATCGACGCGTAATAAATAACGTAGACCAGTTTTCATCTCTTTTTTTTGTCCCCTTAACCTTCACGACTATCTTTTATCGATTGTACCAATTTAAATTTAATGGTAGGTTTCATCGTTAATGTTCTCTTTTTTTTTGTAAAACATCGGGTTCCTCACACCATCTGAGAGACTGGAAGGTCTGCTACTTCCTGGCGCCCTAAGGATAAATAGTGCTATATTTTCTTTATTATTCGTGGACCCCCCCCATCGCTCCAGAACTCTGAGCACTACGGGTAACTAATTTGCAAGCACCAAGCGACCCAGTTTTGCAAGAAATCCAATCTTTTTTTATCTATTCATTTATTTACCCTTTTTTATTCCTTTTCTGACCAGTATTTCGCGTTGATTTTATATATGATTTAGACCAAGAGGTGCGTGGCAGAACACCGGATATCAATCAGACTTCAATAAATAATGCCATCACCAGAGTCTAAACATCACGAAACAGGATGCACGATATACGACAAGGCCAAAATAGTTGCATCTAGCAATTTCTTCTACCCATGAAAAATTAGAGAGTCTATGGAAATCATCAAACATCCTAACAACACACACATCGCGACAAACGAAATGTAAAAGTATAGATGAACAATTATATTATCAATTAATAGTATCTTATGCAACAAGTGCGGTAAAGGGCATTTGACTCATGAGTTTATTTGACACGAGCGGAGCGAGTGTTTAATAAACGAGTGAATAGTTTACCGAACGTGTTCCATACTATACTTTTTCTACGACGGTTAGTTTTTGGGTACATTTTCGCAAAACAACACTAATACATTCACTGAGATGACCGTCAGAATTGATAAACGTCAAAATTCAAAGCGTGTAAAAAGATCCGATTGCTTCCAAATCCGTGCGGTAAAAGTCCGAAGTGGCTCGGATCTGTGGGGAACGAAACTGACGTTGTGAAGTGACGCTTCCCGCACGCTAGATGGGTGTGTAATTAGGTATTTTACAGACGGGAGTAAAATGCAAGGGTTCATCTTTTATTTTTTCCCGATTTTGTACATTCGGTTACAAATTAAAAATACATATGCTTTAACGCTGCCGTCGTGTTAGTTAACTTGTGTACCAGCCTGTATAAATCAAAAACCGCCTTCGAACAATGTCCAGTTGAAATTAAACCGTGCTGTAGCAAATTGTTTACGTGGCTATAAATAAATTTGTCGTGGTCTCGATTAAGGCGGTCAGGCAGTCAGTTGTTTTCGCTTGGCCGTTGTAAAAGATATCAAACGAGTTAAAAAAAATATCGTACTTTCGGTCGTATTCGCTGTTCGCCATGAAGTTTTCGAGTGTTAATTTGTTATTGGGAATATTTTTACTGTTTTCCTGCGTGAATTTGAGTAAGTGGTATCATACTTTTACCTTAATTAAAGTTATCAATGATATATACCTTGGTACAACAACAAACACTACAAATGTAACAGGCAAATAAAAATAAATAAATAAAAAACGGGAGCAAAATCTCCATTTATTTTTTGTTTGTCTGGTTGTCTCATTGCTCATTTAAATGAGTTGTTATTAACGGAAGATGTGGGCGAACTAAATCTTCTTAAGTTGAACATTTCCTTGTTACGAATTGAAGCCAGAATGTCTTTTGCGGCATAAATAATACTGTGGGGACTATTTAAAAACAGATCACAAAGCTAGATAGAGGATATTAAGCCCATTTATACAGAGTGTTCGTAAATGCGTGTCAATACTGGAAAATGCTTGTTTGTTTTTATAACATCTAAGCAACCATTCATTTTTTTTAATTGGTAAATGCTTTCTGGTGCATCAAGAAGTATTTGCGAGGGCACAATAATGTTTTTTTATTTCTACCATTGTAGGTAGATGAATATTTTTTTTGATAGTCTAGTTTCTGCAGAAAACTCATCTCTGGCGTTTTTCTGATCAAGTGCACGGTTTTCAGAGTGACATTCTTAAAGTAAATCTAAACTATTGAGATTAAGGTACCTTTCTGGCCATTGTGAAAGTCTTTCGCCATTTATCTACCGATTAGGAAAAGCAACATATAATTAGTTTCGGACAAATATACTGAAATGAACAAGCAATCCTTGTAATTCTTCTTGGAGAAGAATTGATAGAAAAAATGGGCCTATTATATGACTACTGGACATACGTAAACCAAAAATTCTTCTGGAAAATTGATTACGGTTGTAGAATGGGGTTTATTTACAAAAAAAAAATTATTACAAAAAAATAAAATAAACTGAACCGAACACTAAAAATGGAACAAACATTAAGCCAAAATGGTTTTGAAGGTTAACAAATTATTTAAAGTGAACAAAGTTTGATTACCATTATGTTTTCAATATGTAACTGATTTGAAGCTAACTAAAAAAAGAACATTGCATTTCACGAGAAAAAACAAAAGGTAACTTTTATGCAACAATGACTAGACTATCCAAAGAAAAGATTCACATGATAAAGTATTTTTCCCCCACAAATTAGAGACACATATTGCTGGCGGGCGCCGCTGGTAGAAATAAAAAAATATTGTACACCAGTAAATGTCGATTGATACACCAGAATGCATTAATCAAATTTCAAGTAGGGCTTTAATGTTCTAGACTTAGATAACGGCACCGAATTGTATATAAAAATATAAAATGACCCTTTTTCGCATTATAGGTAAAATATAACAATAGAAAAGGTTATAGTTGTTTCATCTTTTAAGTGTAACTAAGATTATTGTAATATCACGTAAAAAAAATTATACTATGACCGACAGAAAAGAAAGGTATAAATATTTTTACTAGAACTACAAATTGACGTTAGCGCTGGACTTACACAAGAGTAAAACAAATGGCAACCAAATGCAAGGTGGGGATAGGTAAACACATGCTTGTAAGTCAGAAAAATGATATTTGGAACCCTGTTTCTCAAAGGTTAAGTTTGGGACATAGTTCCCTACTAAGATATCTTAGAAAAAGTAATATTCTATCATCATTTTCAACTATTCTTGGTTGGCATCCGCAGATTACGGATTAGAATGTATAACCTGCAACGTCACCAAGACAGCCCAGAATGGTGACGACTGTAACGGAGTTTACTCGAAAGTCAAGTGCCAGGGAAACAGCGTGTGCTTATCCGCAGAGTATGAAGGTATTTTTTTTTTGTAATTTCTGCGATAGTTCATGAAATCGACATTTTTCCAGTGTGGAATCCGGGTCAGGCGGGCGATCCTAAAACCTTCGTGGAAAAGACTTGCTACCAAAATATGGCCGGCAAGGAATGCGAGCAATTCGTCAAAGTACACAGCAACCTGTTTGGCATCGGAACAAAGGTGACGTCGAAGAAGTGTTACGTGTGTAGAGAAGACGATTGCAATCGGCTCTCGAGCGGGTCTGAGACATATTTACCTGCCCTATGGCTGGCGTGTTTAGTAAATATTCTACTAGCAAAATTGCTGGCTTAAGTAAAAATTGATAATAATAATAATGATATGTCTTTATTTCTGAATATCCATACCTTCTACAAATAACCTTTTTCTTTTACATGCACAGAAATGGTCGAAATCCAGATATGGATAACATCAGTATGTTAACCAACCTGATCTATTTAACCCAACGGATTGAGAAACAATAACTCTTTTTTTATGGTGACAGCGATAGCACAATAACAGAAAGAAAAATTTTTACTTCTTCTCACACTTATTAATGTATCCTATTTTGCGCACATTTGTTAATGATAGACTGTGCTTTCTTTTAAACTTTACTTTTCCAAAAAATATCTGCAAGCATAAAAATTAAATTTACTTGGAGTAAGGACTTTAAGTTATGAACGTGAGATCTGAACACAATTCTTCTGTACAGATATTGAGGATTTTTATAGTATAGAATTTTGTGATAAAAACAGGCTTCATGTAGTTTCCTTCTGCTCTCCTTGTTCAGAGACAAGACTCTCAAATCTCAAGTCAGAATCGAAGAAGACTCCCAGGTATTTCACGTTATTTTTTATAGGTAGAGTAGTGTCCCCAATGTTGAATGTAACTTGAGTCTCCAAACCATTCAGATAATTTTTTTTAATAGTTCGCGCCGTAATATCGTTCCTGTTTTACCCATTATCATCATCATCATCATTTAACTTAAATCACAAAATAAACACATAAAAACTCCTTCAGTTTGAGTAATTTATCATAAGACATTATTAATGGCCGTTTAGTTTGGAATTGCTTCGATATCGACTCTCGAGTTAGAGAACCATTGACAAACAATTATAAAAAATTATAAAAAAAACAGGTTTTTTTTGGAATGAATGAAATTCAATTTTTTTACTGATCAGTTTTATGGGAGAGAATTTAAAGAACCCAAGAAATTGTAGTTACATAAATTAGAAATTAACGAGCGCTTCATACTTTTTGCTCTTTTTATGAACTTGAAAAAATGAAATAAACATTTAAAAAAACAAATATCAAGGGTAACAAATTGGGGTAAAAAATATATTAACTTAAAAGGTAAAAGTTTTATGTTGATGCGATCCCAAACATAAACCATAATTAAAATCCAACTTTCATGGGTTGAGTGTTGCCCCTTAGTTTTATTAGTGGCTGCGATTTTACGAGTTGAAAATTAGGTAAAGCAGGGTAAGTGTTACTTTGCATTTATAAACTTATTAGTTAGTTAAAAATTTAATTCAGCGTATAACAGGAATAACTATCAATTTTAAAATTTCATTGATATTTTAATAAAATACGGAGTAGAATACACAATTATCAAGGAAATACATTTTATTTTGTCAAATTTTGAAATCTATTAATAGTTTTTTCGCATATTTGAAGACAAATTTTCGGAGATTGATTTAGGCACGAAGGAGATTCGGTACGAAAATTTCACGGCAATTATAGCTGTCAAGCCAGGGAAATTTTCACTTACTAATCTTGTAGAGTAGGAAGAATTCCGGTAAAACACATGCTAATCTGTCAAAAAACAATTTTGATTAGTTAGTTACTGGTGTGAAGTATTCTATAATCTATTTATGGAACGCGGCAATAACCATCACACATGAAGACGACCTTTGATTAATTTATGTACAAACATCAGGACTGGAGTAAGAGGGGCCGGGGAGTGGTTACAACAAAGGCAGTCAACATCAGAAACAAGTTTTATTTGATAAAATGCAAATTTAAACTAAAATTCATGTCAAAAAATGATCGATAATCAAATAAGAGAGTTTTCAATTTGTTTTTGGTCACACACAGATAGCGTCTAAAATCCTTTAAGTTCTGGCCCAAAATTTGGCCTGCAGGTACGAGGGTTTCAAACAAAATATAAAATAAAATAAAAATATTACCAGTAATAGCTAAAAAAACGACAAGTGACCACCATAATAAATATTTCCGGCTACTAGTTATAAACAAACGAAAACACACGATTTTTTTTGTACACAATTTCTTTAAAAAATACACCGTGAATTAAATAATTACAACCTTGGAACCTGCGATTTTCCTCTCTCACTAACGTCACACAATCATGCCCAAAATAACTATACAGCGATTTGAACATCTTATACTTATGAAAAGGAGCTAATTTACATTTTATATACATTTACAATGTACAGTCATCCAGGGGCGGAACGATTAAATTGTTAAAAAGCATTTGGTTTGTATCCTATTTTGAAATTAATTTTATTTTATTTTTATCTATCTCGTGCTAATTTAAAAATTAGCACTATAACTCTGGATGGAGGTTTTAATTCGTACATAGAAATCGTTAAAACGCGACTCGAACCGCCCCTGTGTTATTACAATAAGCGGGGCACAGTTTAATTTTAATTGATATAATTAATTTAGTAAAAATCTTGTCCAATCTAACCTTAAAAACAATTTTGCATTTTGGCAACGTGTTGTTAATGTCGCAAATGGCCTCAAATCAGGGGCGAACTTCCCCAAGTGGAAACCAGTTGGTTGCGTTTTATAATACCCCATTTTACAAATACCGATAAATTAGTCCTCGTTTAGTTGGGCGGAAAACTTTAATGCTAGATAGGAGGAGGAGGATGCCCTTGCGGGTACTTATTTATGAACTTGTTACGTGGCTCGCAAAGTCTAATTTATTTAAAGGGTTTGTGGTGGAGCAACAGCAAATGGTAGTGCTCCCGGTAAGCAGGGCGTGCCTCTGCGAACTTTGCCGATCTGGGATAACTATATTTATCAGAAATTTGAAAATTCGGCTCCACTTTCGGTTATGCGTATATTAAATCGGACAACCTATATGTTATAGATTTTTAAACTTCTCGGGCATGTTTTATTCATATTTTACCATAATAAAGTCTCATTATGTGTTTTGAGATACTTTCTGTAGAAAATGACGTTTGCAGTTGGAAGAATATCTGTAAATTTATGGAAACATTGATATTTTCTATTAACTAATTTTCTTTGTTAACAAAATTGGTTCGTAAAGTTCTCACAACAATATACCGTTTTTACAATATTTTATGGTTTTCACTTCGGAATGTTGTAAAGCGGACTGTTTTATTATAATTTTATTTGATTAAACTGTTATATTAATTCATATTAGTGTACTTTTTATAAACCTTCCTAAAACAATCCCTATTTGAGGTAGCTTGATTTCAAGATGAATTTGCCCATCAGATAGGTTGATCTCCTTTAAACTGATTTCCATTTTAAGGGTTTTACAATAATGACTCTAAAATGTTTTCCTAGAAAAGCAATACAAAATCGTATGTATATAATTGAATTATAATGTATGTTTTCCCAGTTTGCTATTGGTTGATTTGTGAGGGTCGGTGAAATCGGATTATGCTGCCCGTCTTGTAGTTGTAATTAGTAATTACCAACTTACTGTTATTCAATTATTTTTCACGACTCAGTGCCCCCTTCTTTTGTTGAGGTAACATATACATTTTATTACACTTTATTTCTTATCAAATACTAACATTATTCAATTTTGTTAGCCACTTGCGATGTCCAGCGACGAAGAAGTTGAGATTGTGGTGATTATTTTGATGTAGAATAACTTTTTTTTATAAATATTCTAAAATTGTTTTTTAGCTAAATTTACTGCTTCATTTATGTTTTTAATAAACATCTTAAAGTAAGAATGGATTTTTCACTGAATTGAGCTTTGTATGCACGAAGTACCGAAGTACGCTTCTGGAACGTCATTGTGGATTTGCGAATTTATTTATTGAGGGTTACAAAGAAAAAAAAGTTAAATACCGGATTATGTCGTAAAAACGGTATATCGTTTGGCGAACTCAAATTAAATGAACAAATTGAACAAACCGGCTAGAATATTATTTTCCAAAGGCACCAGATATTTTACAACCTTATCTTCTTTTATAATTAAAAATTAGGGTTAATTTGGTATTCCGTATAGTTTTCTTTGCAAAGTGTCAACAAGAGATACGCAGTCAGGAAATTATGAATGTGACAGAATCAATTTCCCTTCCTATAGTCGTTCGTATTATCCTTCTTATTGAATATCAATAAATTTTAAAAGTTAGATTTAATTGGGTTTTTCATATTCTTGTTTCCGTCATTCTTTGTGTTTATCAATTTCAATAACATTTTTTTTGTAGTATATTCGTCAAAAACTTTCCGAGCGCTTCACAGACCTGATTTCCCTTTGTCGTGTTTCTGCAAAATAAAATTCTCCGACGTCAGAAATATTCTACACGAAATTGTGGAATTCCAAGGTAAATTGCTCAAACGAGTCTTTTTTCCGAAAGATTAAAATCTTTTTTCGAAACCCGGCTCGATGTCTCGTGCCCGGAATTTTAGCTCCGGCTCTATACTTACGCAAGCGCGAGTTAGAAGAATGATCCGGAAAGTCACCGGTTTGACGTTGTACTCTGGGTTTTTCTATTTTCCTAATGCAAATCCTCCCGAAAGCCAAAGTAATATCGTCTCCCTTACACGGAGTGCTTCAGTTTCCGAAAAGATAAAAGCCATAAAGCGTGTTTTGGGAGATGCTGTACAAATGATTTTTTGTAATATTTATTAATATATGAATAAAATATGAATGGAAATAACGACTGGCAGGATTAAAATGCAGCCTTAGGGTTTCGAAAAATTAAATTCATTTAAGCCCGAATTTTAAAAATCGATTTTTCAGAAAATCGTGAGAAGTTACAGTAAAAAAATCTTGCCTCGTTGATAAAAGCATTCGGAGAGGCCTTTTATATTTCAATAAATGTTTGTACTGCAAATAGCAAGTTTGATTTTACTTTTGAATTTTGATAAAATTGGCTTGAAGTCAGATAAAGGCGGTAAGTCAGGGAATACGGCAAGACGTCAAATTTTATGTCGACTCGTGGGATAAAAGGTTTTAGCGAACTAAAAAAATCGTTTAGTTCCGCTTCCGTGGACCATATTATCGATCTGAGATAAAATTTTCAAAGCCGAATTAAAAATGGGTCAATAGGGCCTTTGCAGATATTTTTGTTAGATAGATAATAAGACCTAAAAAGTATTCTTCTGAATATTTTTATCTCAAGTGAAATATTAATAATAAAATATAATAATAAATAGTTAAAATTTAAACTCGACAATTTCCCGTTAAAAACGTCATGTGGACATTTCACCTGTTAGTTACTTTACCTGGTCCGTTTTCGTGTTGATAGCTATCGGCTTAACATTTTTTCGTCACTTTTCAGTTATTTTTGATTTGAAAATGGCTTACCTTTATTGCATCGTGGCACGTTGTAAAAGTACAACCATTTTTGTTCCGGAAAAAACATTTATTAAATTGCCTATTCAAGAAAAACAACGAAAAATATCGCTGAATATCATTTGCGAAGACCATTTTAACGTAACTATTTTAGTTATTATTTTATTAAAAATTTAAGCTACTATAAAAAAATAATTTCCAATTCATTAAAAGAACAATAAATAGTAGTGTAACTTCACTTTTTTTTTATTGTGTTGTTTTTTTTCAGCAGGATATGGAAAACAGTTTAAAAAAGGAATGAAAAAAACTTTAATACTTATTAATATTAATATAATATTAATATTAATATATTAGTAATTGTAAACCTTTTGGCTTTAACTTCACGTTGCTCAACAACTCGGTATAGGTGAAAGAAACAGCTACATGAAGGAGTCGAACAAGATTATTAGATTGTGCTTTTATAAATCCGTCGATCGATCGTATTAGAAATATGGAAATATTAATAGTAGTTAATTCTGCAACAAGTGCAGTAACCGCATTTGAGTCACGTCAAGTTTTTTAGTAAAAAGTTTTTTAAAAGTTTAAAAGTTTAGTAAAAAGTTTGAAGTTTAGTGTTGCATATTTATTTTTTTTGCGGCCTTCAGTTTTTGGGTACATTTTTGCAAAACAACACGAATACATTTACTGACGACCGTCACAATTTTACAAAATTCAAAATTAAATTCAATCTCCGAAAACATCCTATTCGGATCCGTGTGAGAAGACGCTCACGTTGCAAAGTGATGCTTTCCGCACACTAAATCGGTGTTTAATTAGGTATTTTACAGAAGGGAGTAGAAAAAATATTATATTACATAAATATCTATTAAATTCAAACCTCGAAGAATAAAATCAAACACAAACCATAGGCCAAGCAATATAGAATGTAAGGTGACAATGCGTTGCTTGTCCCACGTACCTCGTGACGTCACAATCAATAGAGTAACGTCGAAATTAAAGGGTGCGAACGAGTTTTCTAGAATTAATTACAAAGCAAATTTTTGTTTTTAGGAAAAATATTCTGGAGTGCATTTTAGAAGGTAATTAAAAAGTTTTCATTTAAATATAAAAATATGCGCAATAGGCCTATTGAAGCTATACGGGTGTTTTTTATTAAAAAGATGGCGCGCCTGACATTGTCTCTTCGCGTGTTAAAAATATTCCACTTATGTAAGTTCCAATCAGCCCTTTTACTCATCTTTTAAGTCTTTTCGGTAGGAGAGACCAAAAGTTCGCTATAAACCAAAACGGGTTTTGTTAAATTATTTTTATTTTTCGACCTAGGTGTGTCTTTAAGTATTTCTTCAAATAAACTCACATTCAAAGAATAGAATGAAGAAATGAATTAGAAAAAGTTTTAAACACTCTAAACTAAAACAACTCTAAAACTAAAAACGAAACAAACTCACTTAATATCAAACGTACAACCAAAACAAGTAGGCTAGATTTATAGAAACCCAAAATTCAAAATTTTAAATAAAAACACTGCGCTTGTCCTAAAAGTCTGTTGGAACTATACAGGTATTAATGATCTAGAGACCCTACATAATGCTGATAATACAGGAACTTCATTAACCAATGACGTTGCGGCATTCAACAACCAACAGGGCCGCTGACAGGTAGTCAATAAGTTTGGATGCAGCTTTTTACGCCTCTATTTTCTCAAAATATCTTCAGTTCCCATCTTGTGGCAAAAACAAAGAAAATTGCAGGTTAGTGCATGTGTGGAAAATCATTCGTTTCTCTACGAAAATATCAATTTTTACAGTCCCGGGACTACCATTTTATCTAATAGCTATATGGTTGTTACACCTGATTTTTAGTCCTCAATCTATCAGAAATCTTTGTTTAACTTAGAGCGTAGAATCCTGGATGACAGGCTGTTTCCTACCCTTGTAGGCAAAAACATCAACAAAACTGGTCGGAAAAATAATCGGAGCCGAAGCCCAAGTTTAGCAATAATCTTAGAAGTCGTAAAAATAATATAAACAGTTTCTAATGTGCCCCGCGACTTACATTTTCAGTCCGTCGCACACTTACGCCGAATCAACTTTATATTACACTTTACAAAGGTTTTAATCTCACTCCCGACCACTAACTGCGTTAAACTACACACTGCACTCGTCCCGAAGTTCCCCAATTAACACGGCAGATGCGGCGATAAAACAACCACCATCAGCAGCAAAAACATCCGTAACAGAACGGCGTGCTGACGTAAGTTCGACGACGACGACGACGACGAGAAAAGAAAATCGTCGTCCATATTCTCGAGTTGCTCGCCGCTAGCGTCGCTCGGGCTGCTTCGGAGCCGCAAATCTGTATAAAATATAGAGATTAGATTGGAACGAAGCCTGAGTTTGCCGCGTAACAACCGGTAAATAACGAGTTCCAAGCTTAAGGTGTTTTCCCGCCAGGTTCGTATCGAATGGTTATTTCTTATTGTAGATTTGTAGAAAAGTTTTTGATCCGCAAATCAAAAGTTTCGAAATCGAATCACGAAACTAATGAAATGAGGTGTATCGAAGGCTTAGTGTTGTAAAGACATTGAGAAACAAAGTTATGTCTAAATGCCTAAGAAAAAGGGCGCTATTATGCATAATCTCAGTACTGAATTTTAAAATACGTTTTATGAGACATAATCGTATTTTATTGATAGCTAAAGATAAATACTATTTCAAACCTGTAATAAATTCGATTTATTTTTCTTGAATAGTTCAAGATGACTGAATGGATTTTGTCAAACTTGGAGTCGCGTTATGTAAGCTGCTAACTTGAGCAGATTGATTTAGATCGCCACTAGCGAGCGTTTCGCAAAATCACTGTAAGTAAACGAAATGCCAAACAGAGAAAGAATATTTTTAATACCTTTCAAATAAAGGACTGAGGTTTATGGTGCCTTAGTCTAAGAACGCAATTTTTTGTATTACATTGCGACGTTATAAGTTAAAAGATAATTTCGACGACATATAATAGAAGGGTTTAAGGTAATCACCATCAGGTTGTCAGCTGTCTCATAAACGAGATTACTAACATTACACACGAAACGTAGCAATACGTCACTCTTTTATGTAGCATTTATAGAATTTGGGAAATATTTAAAACACTATCGCTGTGACCGTTTTTGTATTTGTGAAAAATAGAAATGTTTTTGTATACCAAACGTCGGGTCACCGATCCTAATGTGTTAGATTTGAAATAAAAAAATTGGTAGCTGATCAGAAAGAATTAAACGCCATGTATACATAAAAATTATATACTTGTCAAGCGTTAGTTAATACTAGAAACTTTTGCATTAAGCTTTTAGAAGGCCATCTTACATGGACTAAGCAAGTGCAAACTGAAATATAACGGTAAAATTAGATAGAGGTCTCTAATGAGATAACTTTTCATACATTAACGTTAATGACGTTTTTAATTAAATAATTTTCCATTATTGGCATTTTAAATTAAACATTACAAACTATATTATTTTGCCGTATTTATAGGACCATTTCACTTAAATTTTAATAGTTATGCATTATGAATATTTCTTTTCAAAAGTGAGATAAAAAAAACTAGAAAAATAATTCAAGTTCAAGTTCAACTATATACATGATACATGCATGTTTTCAAAGCTCTTTCAATTGCCATTTTAAACTATTCAAAACTAAATACAGAATAAAAGGGAAACCAACCACTCTCACAATTGTCATGATGTGGTTCAAATTATTGGGAACAGGTTCTGTGTTTTAGAAAATAGACATTTTTGGTTAAACTAGGGGTTAGAGGAAGGTTATTTTAGAATTACTTATTGGCCATTTTTTTAATAATGTTGTAAGTTGGTTTCAATTATATTAATAATATATACACTGATTTGTATACATGATATTAAAATTACATTACCCGTTATTTTGAAGGTATGAGGACCCAAGTTCCCAAGTTTTAATTAATTTAATAGGAGTTAGAATCGAGGCTTTTACTTTTTCCTTATTTAAAATTTTTATTAATCAATACAACGTCAAAGCGCCAATATAATTTTTTATTTTATTAAAAAGACGTAAAAGCTCATGAAGAAAGAGATGTTGGTTAGTTTGGTAGGGATAACACATGATTTTCAAATTAAAGCTATAAACTACAACAAATACTTGAGATTTGTTTGTGTGTTGTAACATTTAGGTGTTGATTTTACATTTTTATATTTAATTGAATTAAAAACTGAACGAAATTGAAAATAAACCAGGTGTTTTCAGAATTCAACTCGTACCAAAAGGGTTCAGATTCGAGCTTATGGGCTTAACAATTTTCGCGGGAACAGACTTTTGCAAATATACTCAAACAACATCCTTCACGGTCCAAAAAAGAAGCCAAATTGGCTTTTCTTTACGTTCTAGTATCTGTTTCAAAACAAACGCTCCTCTCGATCGAGCCAGGCCAGGAGAACTCAATTTGACGTGTTTTCATATTTAATTTTCTTCGCATCTCGTCAACATTTCCATTCCATTTACATGAGCATTACCATATTTTTAGTCACATCTACGCTAGTCATCACTAGCCAGGAAATTTCTTTGTCTCCGAACTGCTGCGTAGGAAAACAGGAAGACTTTTTAGGGCTTCATTTGGGCGCTCGATGAAGTGAGGCGTAGTGAAGTACTGCCTTTTTAGTTTTGTGTTTTTTATTTGGGGATATAAGAAAATTTGGAATTACTATATATTGCACATATTTAGTAAATTTGCCACAGTAAAACCTAGTAAATCAAATGTGAAGGTGACTATGTACGAGGGGGTACTCATAAAAAACCGGAATTGAATTGCCGCGCGCAGAGCTTGTATAGTATACCTTTCTGCCGCTAGGTTGTGGATAGTACAACTTATTACGAGTTCAACGCCACCTTCGTTTTAAATTTAACGTCTTTGTTCACTTGCAGTGTCATGTTTTTTTGTTATTTCGTTTTTTTTGATGGCAAGTTTAAAAGAACAACGTGCAGCTGTGAAATTTTGTTTTCTGCTCGGTAAAAGTGCTGCTAAAACTATTTCAAGGTTAAAAACATCTAATAAAGACGATGTGATGGGAAAAACTCAAGTGTACCAGTTGTTTGTTCCCTTCAAAAATGGCGACGAGTCAATTGATGACCGACCTCGTTCTGGACGTCCATCAACTGCTCGAATCGACGAAAATATTGAAAAGATACGAAAGTTTGTGCTCACAGACCGTCAACAGACAATTGAACAATTATCAAAGATTAGTGGCTTGTCTTGGAGCACGGTTCAGCGAATTTAAATTTTTAAATTTTAACACACAGCCATTTCTGTTAAGCAGTTTTTGGCTAAAAATGGCATGGTTCCTCTGCCCCATGCACCTTACTCGCCTGATCTCGCTCCTTGTGACTTCTTCTTATTTCCATGTATGAAAAGGGACATGAAAGGACAGCGATTTGATAACATTGAAGAGGTCAAGAAAAAAACGAGGGATGAGCTGTCGGCTATAGCCAAAGATGAATATAAAGAATGTTTCCAACAGTGGAAGCACCACTGGTACAAATGTATTAGTTGTAAAGGAGAGTATTTTGAAGGGGATAAGGTCGTTCTGTGATTTTATAAAAAATGAGTCCGGTTTTTTTTGGGTACCCCCTCGTATATTATGCAACAATTGTGATACCTAAATATTATTTGGCACGAGCGGAGCGCAGTATATATTTTAAAGAGTGGCGTAGTTACGAACCTCTTCCCAAAAAAAGATGCATAAACAAACCACAAACCCTGTTTTCTATAGACATACAAAATGAGGTTATCGAAATCTGAAAGTAAAGATTAATAACAGAGGTGTCGGGGGGATTTGTAATAGGCCATAGCCTGTAACTTGCATATTTTGCGGAATATTTTTTCTTAAAAAAATAAAATTGATTGTAGCTGTACCCACTATGCCGATAAGGTTGAAAAGCTCAAAGAAATTGTTAATAATTTATGTTATTCTGGTAAATGTAAACGAACCGGATATTTACGGAAAACCAATGCACTTCTGTTTGCGTCTAAAATGGATTTGAGAAAAGACGGACTTTTTTTTGTATCTTCTTGTACTTTGTACTTTTTTTTTGTACTTTTGTATGTTGTTTTCATTATTTATTCATATAGAATTATTTGGACTTCCCTCACATTTCGAAGCCAAACTAAATTCTATACTATTTTTTTTAAATACATATACATATCTCTTAAAATATGCTTACTTTATTTTTCCAATGAATTATACAGGGTGCTTTCTAATTGACTCTCAATAATTCGGGGGAGATTTTTGGGTCCATTTTAAAAAGAAAACTTCATATGAACATATGTCCTAAACATCTTAACTTTTGAGATAGAATGTGGTAGAGTTTTCAAAAATAAAATATATTTTTTTAATATCTGTAATTCCACTTTAGATACTTTAATGAAATTTGGCGCTCATGTACTATGTATTAAGAGGCATTAATTAATAATAATTAATATAATTACGTACGCCCGCCACTGGTGTATTTTTACAAAAATGTGGTACACTAAATAATGCCTTTTGCTATATGCCATAGTACATGTGTGCCAAATTACATTACTTCTACACTTTTTATAAATATTAGATTCTTATGCTAAAGTCGATAATAAAAAAGTTTTCCATATGATGCCATTATTTAGATTAGCTTAAAAGTAATTTGCAGAATTACTAAACTGGATCTTATGCGTTTTATAACAAAAGAAAAATTAAAATCTCACTTCACAGTGTTTCCGAATTTTAACAGGTTAGTGGCCAACTTCGCGCAGCGTTAAAACGTTTATCGACATCTGGAAATTATTTTTTTTTTGTAAGGAGAGCGAAAGTTTACCTCGTTCCTTGGCGACGACTTCATCGTCCCCTATTTCGTTCGCGTTGACTGGGCCGGATTCATCCTTTTGCCTCGTCTTCGGTTTCTGTTTCTGCTTCTGCTTGACGGTGCCTGAAATTTAAAAAAAAAAAGGGAGAAACGCTCGAATAATACAGATCGCACGTCCTGATCCACTCACTTTTTTGGGTTATTAATTTCGGCTGTTGAGTGGTGCTCTGCGTAGTCGGTTTTAACGTGGACGGAGTTGGTATGTCTGAAACAGAAGGCAAGACTGTAACTTTACTAAATGCTCAAATGATATCAAGTCAAGACAAGATTAAATTCTATATAATTTGTTATTCTTTTGTAGTAAATAACTGTAAGACATACGAAGTCGTTTTGAAAACTGGAAAATTCAGGAGGTATAGCGAAAAAACTAAAATCTGCTATTTCTCTTCTTTTACTTTATTTTCATTTTTCATAGTTGCTGTTATTTTCACAATTTGTGTCATCTTTTTGAAATATAAACCTGAACTTAAAATGCCGTTGATAGTTTTGAATGGATTAGATGTTAGTTTTGATTAATTGGTTTTCCTTTCGTCTCCTTCATCAAGCTCTAACCATACAGAAAAATGGCGATCAAGAAATAAAACAAACATTGAAGCGCAAAGAGAATTTTTTGTCAAATTCATTTTAATCATTTAAATTTAAATTTATTATATTTAGTTCTAGTACCATTTCATGCCACATAGGCAATAAAAATGAATATAAATTTTAGAAAACGCCTTACGTTTGTGTCTGATTTTAATAACTAATAACACAATTTGTCCCAATACCAATTTAAATTGGAGAAAGTAAAAGTAAGACATATATTGGTTACGTGGAACGTTCCCGTTTTATTTAATTTTTTTAGAGAAACTTTTTATAATATTCGTTGGCAAGTTGACAATTTCAGATTGTGCTTCAAATTAGACAAAACTTGTCTAAAGAGTTGTGTGTAATTTTTTCCGCCTAGATTAAATACACCGTTTTCAAAAATATTTTTTTCTACTCCCGTCTGTAAAATATCTAATTACCCACCGATCTGGCGTACAGGAAGCCTCACTTTACCAGGTCCGTTTCGTTTCCCATGAATTTGAGCCACTTCGGGCATTTCCGGGATTTTACCGCACGGATTCGTTCGGTAAACTTTTTAACTCACTCGTTTATTAAAAACTCGCTCCGCTCATGTCAAATAAACTCGTGAGTCAAATGCCGTTTACCGCACTTGTTGCATAATATACTATTCTAACGAGAGGCACGAAAGATTAAACGGTTGCGAACGTACCAAATAAAAAACGCTGCTACCCAAAAACTAACGGTCGTAGAAAAAGTATAGTATGCAACACGTTCGGTAAACTTGTTGCATAATTTACTATTACAATTGGAGGAGTTTTTCTTACACTTGCTTTTACCTCTAACAAAAAAAAAGAAATTGAAGAGGGGCAAGGTGTTAGTAACAAATAGGCACTGACATTATATTTTTCTACTCTCGTCTGTAATTACCTAATCACGTTACCTCGTGAGTTTCTTGTCCCATGGATCCGAGACCCTTTGGACATTTCAGAGATTTTACCGCACGGGTTTGGGGACAATCGGATGTTTTCGGAGATATTTCCCACGCCTTGAATTTTGACGTTTGTCAATTTTCATAGTCATGTCCGTGGATGTATTCGTGTTGTTTTGTGAAAACATATCCAAAAACTAATACACAGAAAAATGTAACGCAATATATCAGATAATTTAAATACTACGTGCTATAAGCTACAGTTAAAATCTGGTGGAGTAAGTAAAGTGACATTTATAATTTAAGTTTCCCACAGAAATTTAACATACCGTTCGCATAAAATTTAGTGCTTTTTGCAGTTTTTATATGAATATTGCCGAGACCATTTGTACGATCAAATATCCATGCTCCATTAGTACGTACAAAATAAAATTTAAGGTTAGGACCAGCTTTTTTTTGTTTATACGGTCTTAAACATTTAATCCTCTGGATGATTTTTCTTCCAATTACAGTCGTTTTATTTAAATAAACTGCTTACTGGTCAATTGTAAAAGTTAAATGAACAACATAACCTTTTAAAGTTGTGTTTATTCCGTTGTTTATATGTTATATACAATAATGCATATCTCTCTGTCTAACTTACACAGTTGAAAAGAGACAACAATAGCAGAACCGATCGGAACGATAAACGACGATAATGGCAGCGAGTAAATATTTTGTGTGAATGGTATGAAATTTCGTAATCAGATAATCTTTATAGTTATTACTTTTAATTTGTTGAATTGTGATTTTTTCGTGACGGTCGTAGAGAAAGTATAGTATCCAACAGGTTTTTGAACTCCTTATCTCACTCGCTCCGCTGCGGTCCGCTCGTACCAAATAAACAAATGAGTCAAATACCGTTTACCGCACTTGTTGCATAATAAAATATTTCCGCATGTTTGGAGCACTATGCGCTAACATTTTCTAATCTTTTAATTTGGGTCAAAATACTAAGACGGTTATTTTTTTGAAAATGAATGAAACTTGTTACGTATTAGCATTTTACTTTTATTTTCAAATAGAATAACTTCTTCTGTAAGATCACTAATGCTTTGAACCACAATATAATTTTATATAAAACAAATTGTTCAAAAAAATAATTTACAGAAGATAAAATGGCAACTAATCCAGCAAAATATTTAAGCGATCATTGTCATATGAGGATGATCACCACCGGCTATGGTGGCAATTAAATTGGCTTAACTGAAAACATAAACTAAACCGAATATCTTAATAAATGTAGCTGGTAGCTTACTTAGCTGATCGCCTCAACTTGTTAAATAAAACAAGTCATTTGTTATCAAACTAGGAACTGACCCATTTGACACCTAGAATTTCATAATTTCATACAAAATAGCATTGCTAAGGATTAATTCTCAAAATATGTTTGTTGGAAGAATAAAAAATTTGTTGGAGTCTTGTATTGGCTAACTGCGTCCCTTGGAGAAAATATGAATACTTCAATAATAGAGAAAACTTATTAATTATATCCTTCTTAACACCGATGTAGTTGCAGCGTCTTTTAATTTGGTGGCAACCGTTAAATCTTTCGTGCGTCTCGTTAGAATAGTATATTATGCAACAAGTGCGGTAAACGGCATTTGACTCACGAGTTTATTTGACACGAGCGGAGCGCAGCAGAGTGAGTGTTTAATAAACGAGTGACTTAAAAAGTTTACCGCACGTGTTGCATACTATGCTTTTACATTCACGGACATGGCCGTCAGAATTGACAAACGTCAAATTCAACCCGTGCGGTAAAATCTCGGAAATGGCCGAAGTGGCTCGGATCCGTGGGAAATGAAACTGACCTGGTAAAGTGACGCTTCCAGCACGGTGGGTCATTAGGTATTTTACAGACAGGAATAGAAAAAAATATTTATATATATACATATATATATATATATATATATATATATATATATATATATATATATATATATATATATATATATATATATATATATATATATATATATATATATATATACATACATATATATATATATATATATATATATATATATATATATATATATATATATATATATATATATATATATATATATATATATATATATATATATATATATATATATATATATATATATATATATATATATATATATATATATATATATATACATATATATATATATATATATATATATATATATATATATATATATATATATATATATATATATATATATATATATATATATATATATATATATATAATTTGTATATATTTGTATATCCTGTCAGTGCGCAACGGCATGTCAGACGCACATACGGAAAATGATGTCAGGTGTGGGGTACGCGGGATCATATCTCCATTGCAAAACGTCCAATCTATACTTGCATACCCGCGCGACATATTCGTTGCTACCCCTCGCGCGAAAATCAATCTACGAGGGAGGTCGATTGTCTGTCGATCATCCCGGCCAAGGCAAATCGACCCCAAACGTCACGCGGATCCGCCCTGTCAAAACCGCGCGTGCATGTCACAAACAAAACGCCGCCTCAGATATCTCCGACCGCGCGTCACTTTCGTCTCGCATTTTCTATACCTTCCATAACCGAAGGGGATGAAAATGCATGGGGATTGGATTTTGCAGATCCATAACAAAAGCCGAAAACGCGGAAGAATGCGATCCCGGAGCATTTCCTTCTCTCGACGAATTTATCGTTGCTGTTATTTCATTCGCCAGTGTCTCAGTGGTCCAGTTTCTATTGATAAGGAAGAGAGATCACCTCTCAAGTCGAACAACAATTTAGCTATCGAACATTCCCACTAATATTTATATTTTTAACGCTAGGCGACTCCTTAAATTTAACTAGAGAACGAAAAATGAAATATTTTAGTACAAAAATTATTGTTAGGTTTGTAACACGCTTCTTTTGATGTCTTGTCTTTGGGAAAGTTTTTAGTCTATTTCCTTTGGAGATTTACTAGTTTGTGAATGTTAAAGTGACTTTGATTCTGATTTACTTGTAAAAAAACTGATTCTGTTGAGGAACGCGCCTCGAATTGAATGACTAAACCACAAACGATATCAGTTACTCTATATGAAAAATACCATTACAACAGTAATGCTTCATGCTTATAGCTGGCTGTTTAAATTGGGAACCATGAACTACAATACAATCATAAACGAAAAAAGGCATTTTAAAAATGCAGGTCGAAAAAAATTAAAAAAAGGGCGTACCGAACTACTACTAACTCAACTTTAGTCACACAATTCCTAAAATATAGTTGTTCCCCTGGTTATTCGAACTTTAATGGAAGGTTGGTAGGGCCTTTGTATTTTTTAAGTATCTCTATTGGAGTTATCAGATATTTCTTTCAGGCTTTCATGTACTGTTTCTTATAATTTTTCTTTCATTTTTGTTTTGCCTGCTTGGCTACTCTTAGATTTCTTTGATCTTTGTGTAGCGATGATCTTATTTTTGCGTCCTATGCTCTCTTAGATCATCTGCAGTACTGTATCCCTTCATTTTATGCTGCGTTCTCTATGCCATGTTTGAACTTTTTTTTCGAAATCACTACAGTCTTTGTTCTGTGCTTTACTTATTCAGTATTTCTATTTCCTGACATAGTTTTTATCATGCTTTTTTTGCTTGAGTATTTTTCTAAGCTGTTTCCAATTGTACCTTATATCTGATTGATTTCTTCAGCATTATAGCCAAAGATATGCAGGTGTCTTTGGTCTTTTATACAAAACACTTCTTCCTTTGCTTTTGTCTGATTTTTATTATTTATTATTATGAATGTGTATTATAAAGAAATACAATTATCACTTCTAAGTTCACAGACTTAAGCGATGTTGGTGAGCTGATGCATACGAACAGGAGTCGTATTTACCACACTTCCCGGAACAAATGTTTTCAGGCCTTGTTCGTATTCACTATATATGTGTTTTTCTGTGTCCATCGAATAGATGGAGTATTTTGAGTAGCGTCATTAAGCATTTCCAAATATACTTTTAGTTTAAAATTATTATTTTAAAAATCGAAAGTATCGAAACTCGTTTTTACTTCAGCTTGTGCCTTCTTCCAGGCCTTCAAAAAGTAAAACCCTGGTTTCAATATTCAGATGATTACGCGGATCACTTAAAAGTTTAGGGGAGATGCCGTGGGGTTTTCTTTTTTAATTGAGGGAAGTTTTGGCGGGAATCAGGGTCGCAGACGTTATAACTTTCCAATACCACTTTAAGTCATTGTTCTAATAAAAGCTAAAACCCCTCATTCGCATTCAGGTGGGATTCGAAAAGTTGGGACGATGATTTTCGTTGAGTTTCTAATTTTAATGGTGAAATCCCTTCGAAAGTTCGCCGACGAGGCGAGGGAATACTACGTGAAGAAATTGAATAAGGCATTTTGCACTAAACAGTGTTTTGGTATTCACCGAAAACTACTTTTGTTGACATAGATAAATCGAACTTGCCTATTTAGTCAAATTTTATTACCAAATTAATATGCAACGTTTTTTAATTATGTTTAACTATTGTCCCTTGAAAATTAAGGTGAATACATAGAGGTGATTCCGATCACTTACGATAGAGCTTGATGGTGCCGTCAGTCTCTCCGAGGGAGTTTTTTGCCACGCATTTGTACGAACCATAGTCCGCTGGCCCAACGCTCCTGATCGTGAGCTTCATGTGGACTTTGTAAGCGTTATCCACTAACACAGGCTCGTATTTTGTTCCTGCAAAAAAGTAAAATCGGTTAGTTTAGTCGAATATCCACAAAAAACGAGACGTAAGAGACGTTTACTGAATTAAAATAAAGTTTCAATATTTAAATCCACTTATCTAACTCTATTTCACATTGTTCATAATGGGAATTCTTAAATGCCTAAAGATCAAGTGGTAAAGTGAAGGTGTACCTCACACGTGGCAACGCTTTTATAACCACCGACTGACAGGCCTGCACTAATTGTTTACGCAGTACTATTGATGTTACCCAAATTTATTTTTCTAACTTTTCCATATCTGTAGTGGCAAAATCTGGTAAATATTCGCGTTTTCTTATAAAAGTTGAATGAGGTGAAAATCACTCGAATCTACTAGAAAGATATTTTTTTATTGAATAAAAAACAGTAAATGTAAAGAAACCATACCATGACAGGTACTTTAGACTCCCTTGTAGAATTTTTTATTTTTTTATGTAATTGGTATACCTACGGGCATATCGATTATTTTACGGTATAGGCCACAGAAAATACGATTCCTGGAATATGTAACATATACATTTGCGTACTTTTCCTCATTTGTAAGAAAATTTTTAGCCTCTTGTAGACTCTGGCTCCCAAAATAATGCTTTCGTTTTCATATATTTATTTCATTTTAATATTCTTACGAAAAAAAAAATTCTCACTGCCTTGAGTTGAATTCTAACTAATTGCTACGGTCACTATCTGTGCGAAGAAGCCAATTTGCTCACTGTTTGACTATTTAAGTAAGGCCACCTCTGCCAAACGGAATAATGCCTTTGTTTTGATATATTTATTTCATTTTATAAAAGTTATAGGAAAAAAGCCAATTCTCTCAATGGTTTGAGTTGAATTTTAATTAATTTTTTCTACTCCCGTTTGTAAAATACCTAATTACACACAGATTTAGCGTGCGGGAAGCATCACTTTACCACGCCAGTTTCGTTTCCCACGAATCCAAGCTACTTGGGGTTTGGGAGCCATTGGATGTTTTCGGAGATATTTCCTACTCTTTAAATTTCGACGTTTGTCAATTCTGACGGTTATGTCAGTGAACGTATTCGTGTTGTTTTGCGAAAAAATACCCAAAAACTAACAATCATAGAAAAAGTATAGTATGCAACACGTTCGGTAAACTTTTTAAGTCACTCGTTTATTAAACACTCGCTCCGCTCGTGTCAAATAAACTCCTGAGTCAAATGCCGTTTACCGCACTTGTTGCATATTATACTATTGCTATGACATTGTGGGACATTGTGTTACATTGTGTATTTCACTTTAGTCAAACAAAATAAAACTTTCCTGGGTATTCGGTCATATAAAAGATCAGTAAACATTACGTACGTTTCGGCCAAAAACAGTAGGGCATCTTCAGTTGTACATAAATGAAATAAAAGTGACGATACATATTATTATTATTATTATTATTATACTAAGCTTCTAGGTATCTTTCTCGATACCTTCCTAACCTGGTCGGCTCATATCGAGTATCTATGTTCCAAACTCTCGTCTCAAATCTTTGCATTAAGGCAATTAAAATACTGCATTTCGCAGAAGACCTTAAAGACTATCTACTTTGCACTCTTTCACAGTCATCTGACCTATAGCGTGCTTCTTTGGGGTAACCCTTCAGATGCTGATCGGGTTTTTCGGCTTCAGAAAGCAGCAGTTCGCATTCTCCAAGGGGCTCCTCCTGGAGCACATTGTCGTGAGCTTTTTATTAAATTTAAGATTCTAATTCAGCCTTCCCTATTCATATACTACAACCTTGCAGAGGTATCCTACTCATGGTGACTACCACTGCTATGACACACGCGGATTAGCAATATTGTTCCACTTAAGTCTAGATTAGCCACTACTCAGAAAAATAGACTAAATTTGAACATATATAACATATTTGTGAACAACTATAACCGCTTGTATAAAGCTAACGCTAAGCAATTTACGATAAGAAAATTTAAGTTATCGGTTAGAAGCTATCTTTCCAGTTATGGTTTTTACTAAGTTGAGGAATTTCTATCGCATATCCCAAGAATATAGTGTATACTGTTAACTCATGCAAATATTTTTATTTATAATTTTTTTTTCTATAAACATATGTTTATATACATATTATTTTTTCTATGTCTTGTTAAATTTATCAAATTGTTGTTGTATTTATATTTTCTTCTTTTTGTTATTGTTGCTATTATTTCTATTTTGTTATATTACTGAGTTTTGACTTCACAAATACATGTATTTATAGGTGGTCAATAAACGATATCTATTATTATTATTGCATATTATATTTGTTATTATATATATTATTATATTAGTACTATTATTTGTTGGTGCCTACCCGAAACAGGCAAGTATGGAGAAATATGAGCCTGTCGGTGAACTATATAAACAAGCCGCAAACATGAATTTTGTATTTTCTGGATACGATATCGGTCTGCAGGTTGGGTACACACCATAGTAATGATTGAACTGTGATAGAAAGATGGATTCCCAAAATACTTTCCTTGTAACAATTGGAAGAAAATGTCTATGACTGTATATTAACTTTAAATTTCCATATCCCATTCTTAATTTGTTTGTAATATGATCCTTGAACCGCAGCCTAGTGTCTAAGTTCAATCCTAAACTTTTCGATGTATCCGAGTATAGTATAGGAGTGTTATTAATTTTTATGATCATTTTGTTTTTGACATTATCTACTTGGGAGTCATTTCCAGAAACCAACACCTACGACTTAATTGGATTTAGCTGCACTAGATGATCGGAGGCAATTTTAAAAAAGTTCTTTAAATCAGGGTTAATTTTAGTCTCAGCCTGCGCCATTTCATGACCTTGAACAGAAAAGTTAATTTGAGTGCCGTCAGCATATATGTTATAATTACAATATTTTAAAGCCTTTATAACAAGAGACCCAATATGCTACCTTGTGGTATACCTATCTCAAAGGAGAGTGGTTCACATTGTCGCAGAACACCTATAGAACTCTATCGGATAAAAATGAATTTAAAAACACGCGTGCACCTTCACTAAACCCAATGTAGTGTTAAGTAGAAATAAGCAATTTATGATTGATCATGTTGAAAGCCTTGGGGTGGCTGTTCTGCCTTCGTCTTATGCTTGCAGTAGATCATAAGTAAAATCAACTCTTGCAACGATAATCTTTTCTAAACTCAGATTTTTTTGTAGGTAATATATCAAAAAGAACTAAGAATTTTCTTATTAGCCTCTCAATTATTTTTTCTAAAACTTTAGAAAGAGTAGGAAGGATGCTAATTGACCTCAGTTGTTTAAATTCCGTGGAGTTCTTTACTTTAGGAAGAGATGTTCGTTTATGACATGTGTAATCGATTTAATATTTTGTATTATGTGAAATATTTCATCCTCTGTAGCTCTTGATTGACATTTTCTAATTTTTGAAGTTCGATTTCTTAGTGTTTGCATCAATTTGATATTTTCCGTTATCCATGGAGCGTATGACTAATTTTCCCTTTTTTTTTAAAGGATTTAAAGGAGCCTGTCTATCGAATAAAGCCAAGACATACTCATTCAAGTTACTTTATAGTCAATGTTTGTAATATATAATATGTTATGCCACGGTATTCTCCAAATTATTTAATAAAAAAATGGTCAGGATAAAAGATGAAGATGAAGTCAGATGATAGACAAGACTACATTATGATTTGTCAGAATGCAACGTACAATTAAGATAGTATCAGTACTTTAATTTAAATTGACACATACATAAAAGCAGCTTATCTTCGTCACCAGAAAACCGTAATTATAACATGAGATCAGTGCGACTGACTAGCACAGCATAAACTTATAACAAAGTCCCAAATCACGTAAAATAATTAGGAGTTAATAAATTTTGAAAAGTCATAAATTAGCATTTGCTTGCAGTGGCTTATATAGTGTTAAAGAATTCTGTTATTAGAACACAATTGATATGTAAATGCTCATAGTACGATGGCAGCGCCAAAATTTCCCTACCTGAAAGAAACAAAGTAGAGTAACAATTTTTTATTATTTTTCAATATAGTCCCCCTTAATTTCAATACTCTTATTACATCTCTTTATTAACAACTCAATCCCTTTAAAAAAATATTGTTTTGGTTTGTCTGCAAAATGAGCTAAAACAGCCTCTTTTAACTCAATTTCGTCGTTAAACCGTCGTCCACGTAAGTCCTTTTTCAAATATCTAAACAAATAATAGTCGCTGGGGTCATATCTGGACTATAGGGAGGATGATCCATCTGTTGGAACACACACCCTAAAATGGCAGCTTGTGCAACACCAGCAGTACGGGCAGGTGCATTATTGTGCAAAAGACGCACGCCTCTGGTCAGTTTTCCTCGACGTTTTACACGTATGCAGTTTCACAATTTATTTAATAATGTTGCGTAATATTTACCATTGACAGTGGTAGTAGTTTCTTTAAAAATCTATCAAAAGAATTCCTTCACAATCCCAAAAGATCGTGGCCATCACCTTTTTTGTTGACTGGCATACTCTGAATTTTCTTGGAGGTGCTTCACCCTTACGACGCCACTACATTCATTCTTTTTTCGATAGAGGCTCATAATAGAGAACCATAGTTTCATCTCCCGTCACAATAGTTTTTATCACAGGCTTCGGTTCTGACCCACAGAGTTCCAAAAAAAAACCGCGCACACTCGACACGGCGTTGTTTTTGAATAGCCGAAAGGTTTTTAGGAACCCATCTTGCACTAACCTTATGCATACCTAAAGATCATGCAGGATTCGACGAACACTTGTATCAGAAAGCTTAGTAATTTCTGAGCTTTCCTTGATCTTTAAAGGTGGATCACTCAATCCACCTCTTCCACAATCGCAATAATATCTTCCGTTATGACCTCCACTGGTCGACCAGTTTTTGAATCATCTTCAAGGGACTCCTGCCCCATTCGAAAACGTTTTTGCCCATTCTTTCACTACAGAATACGAAAGAGAACTTTGACCGTACACACCATCCA